AGGTTTGTGCTTTATCTTCTTGATGAACTGAATGAAGTTTTGTGGATGAACTTTCTTGTTGTCTATTCTGTTCCTATCTCATCCTCAAGCATCTTGTTTTCTATGAGTTTTGAGAAAATTTAGGCTCTACAGTTATGACTAGCTTCTGCTACTTCTATTTTGTCATTCCAATGAAAGACTCGTGTTAAAACCTATTTTATCCATTTTGCACTACTAAGGATTGTTCTATGAATGGATACTGTGTTTTTAGTCACATTTCTATTGATGGCTTCTTTCATTTATTGCTTTTTGCTTGGTAATCACCATTTGGTGAACATGTTTTTGGTCAGATGGGTGCATCAAGTTCCTTTCTGTCTTGTTACATTTGATGGTTTTCATGTTGTGTTTGCTTGAACTCAAACTGAAAGTCTACTTCATTCTTTTCCTATGTGGGATATATTTTTCTTAGATCTGGTTATATGGAGGTAATTGAAGAAGCTGTCAAGTCTTTTTTTTATGTTTATTAGAAAAGGTTGCGACTTGATTTTGAAATTCACGTGCATATAGAAAACTATGAGCAAAAGCCTTCAACAATTTTCAACAAGACCTCTTCATTTGCTCTCTTTGATGGAAGTGTTGGTGATGATTTCAGACACATAACTCAAAATGACTTATCCAAAGCTGCTTAGCATTGAGAAATCAAGAGAGTTCACGGAGGAATTGAATAGGGAGGCTCGAGAACAGTTTTATGGATTTGAAGGAAAGTTGTATGTTGGCGGCATATTACTAGTTTTTACTAATAGAGTCCAAGTTCAAACATAGGTTGAAGTGTATGAATTCAAAAATTTGTCATGTTCTAGTGTATGGATTCAAAAATTTGTAATAAAATTATCAATTTTTATGCAATTCCAAAATTTGTTCATAAGGAGTCATTTTCAATTTTACCAATCAATTTGCATAAATTATTGTTCAAAAAAAAAAAANTAATGAAATTATTAATTTTTATGCAATTCCAACATTTGTTCATAAGGAGTCATTTTCAATTTTGCCAATCAATTTGCATAAATTGCTTTAAAAAAAAAGACACATACGGCAACGTTCAAAAAAGGTTGCCAAAAAGGTTTTTACAACGTTTAAAAAACGCTACGAAAAGTGTTTTTTGCAACGTTTAAAAAACCCTACAAAAAGTGTTTTTGGCAACGTTTTTTAAACGCTGCAAGAAGTGTTTTTGCAACGTTTAAAAAACGCTGCAAAAACCTTTTTGGTGACTTTTTTAAACGTTGTCATATCCTGTCCCTCTACAGCAACACTGAGATTTACAACATTCGCCAAATGTTGCAAATGGTGTTTGACAACGTTTTTTGAACGTTGCCGTGTCCTTTTTTGTTGTAGTGCACGTGATGGAAGACCTAAGGGTAGGTCAAACTGCTCAATAGAGAAGGTAATAGGAAACTTACCAAACATGGAAAATGAAAGATTCCATTGCTCGTGCAATTTTAGTAAGTTCTATGGTGGACGATCTCATTCATGAATGTGAGCAGTTCCCGAGTGCTCATGACATTTGGACATATTTGAGAAAGAAATATGGTGGTACTAGTGTGACTGAACTCAGACGACTAACTATTGAGTTCATACTTACAAGAAACTTCCTAATCACAACATCACACATGTGAGGATCGTGTCTACTATAATTAAGGAGTTGAAGTCGGCTGGTCACATACTTTCTCATGAGCAGCAAGTTCAGGCTTTGATCTGCTCCTTTCCTGATAATTGGGAACATCTGAAAGTCAATCTGACTCACAATGATAGCATCAAAACATTTGCTGAT